ATCCCCCGAATCAAGCCAGTGAGCCGTGCTAGACCTTCATGCCAGGTCATTAGGGCGAATGGACCCCTCGGATGCATCCCCGGACAGGTCGTTGCCGTGTAGCCTCGACTGAGTGTGACCTGAATGTGCGGTGTATGCGATTTCGTATGTGAGCGAACCGAGAGGCAATCGCGCAGGATCAATGAGGCAACTCCACGATAGTGCCTTGGGATGCCTTTCTCTACGCTCAGACGCCCGAATGAAATGCGGTGTATGGTTATCGGTGATGGAACTGGCCTACCCATTTCTGAGGGTCTGGGAGTGATTTTCCAACGACGAGTCGGGTGGACACCAGCTCATCGTGATTAGTACCACTATTACCGTGCCCGACCATACCTGCTAGGACTGTGCGTGGGATGCAATTGACTGGGGATGGGGGGGTCGGTTGGCGATAGCGACGTGAACCTGCCAACACCCCGATGGTCACGGGGGTCAGGGAGTTTGCGACCCCTATAGGCACCCGGTAAGGAGTCTTGCAATTCACCGGGCAGAGACCTGATTCCCTTGGGATCGGGAGGATCAGGGAGTTTGCGACCCCTGCACGCACCCGACAGACGACTCCCCTGGCAGGAGCCTAGATTCGATAGGAGGGGAGATGGGGGACAGGTACTTTGTGACCCTTACTGCCACCTAGTAGAAATCTTTGTGACCCCCCTAACACACAACCCAGATTAGTATGACCATAGGGGGTCAGAGAGTCTGTGGCACCCTATAGGCACCTGGTAAAACAGTTCTGTGACTCCCTTGGCACAGACCCAAGTTCTCTTAGGCTTGGGGGGTCAGGGAATTCGTGACCCCTACTGCCACCTAATGAAAACCTTTGCGGCGCCCCATGCAGAGACCCAAATTCTCTTAGGACTGGGGGGTCAGAGAGTTTGTGGCCCTTATAGACACCTACTGAAAGGTTCTGTGACTCCCCGGGCATAGACCTAGGTTCTCTTAGGAAGGGGGGGTCGCAAATTCTGTGCCCCCTCCTGACCCCATCACTGGCTAGGAAAAGGGTGGCTTGGAGCAGTGGTTCAACGCACTGAGCGGTTCCCATCTACTCAGGAGTCTGTTGATTCTGTCATTGAATGAGAACTCTCGAACTAGCATCAAATCAGCGAGTTCGTGACTCTAGATGCTCCTACTACAAGGGAATCAAGTCTACGCTCTCGAGTAGAGAACCACTTGAGGTAATGATGGGATAGATCATCTGCGTTCTCATGAGGTGCTCGCGCGCCTTTGATACTCGCTTTGGTGATAGCTGTCCACTTTCCCTTAGAAAGAGGACGCTTACAGGGAGCGCCGCACCACAACCGCACCTGCTGTAGTATCGCTCAAGGTTGCCTTTGCAGAACATCCACCACACTGGATGTACTCTACGATTTATTCCACCTGGGCACTCAGGACGGGGGAGAGAACTGGGGGAAATGATTGAATGGGAGTACCAATGGAATTGGAACCATAGCATACCACCTCGGGCTTGGATTATGCGATCCCCGGTCGCAGAAACTATCAGGCGGTCTAATCCATCCTCCGGTAGATCGCAGGAAGCAGCGACCGCTGCCAATCAGGGCTGGTCGCAAGATGGAAGGATACGATGTAACCTAAGGGTTGATAGTAAAGTGCGATTCACCGGCAGGGAACGTACGGAGATCTCCGGGACTAGGGAAATTTCCGACCCGTATTCAAGACGACCCGAAGATCGGCAGTGACCATCCACTTGCACCCGCTTCCTCGTGCCGGTCAACCTCCAACGCGTAGCCGGGAGATGACGTCTATCATACTGCAAAAATTCACACTTGATCGTAACCTTTCCCCCCATATGAAATAGCGCATACAATGCTCGAAGTTCATCCACTCTAGAAAAGGTAATCTCACGCGATGCGGTGCTCAAGGTAAACCTACAAATAATTCAGGCGATCCACCTTGGCCCACATCAGGGTGCTGAGCTGCGGCCTATTGCTTCAACGCGTAAGGTGCTTCGTCATAGTCTCATGGTTCTATACTTTCTTCACCAAAACATTGGATTCCCTTTGGTTAAGCGAAACCATAACCTACCGCGGAGTTAGAGAAGGGATATCGGGCACTCAAAGGATCGTGAACTCACATCGTACTGATATATTTTCTGGTTGGAGATGCTGTCCACAGCGAAGATATTCAAGGCCATCTGAACAGGCTTGCCATCAGTATTGTAGCCCGATAAATCGCTCTCACCCGTGTAACTTCAAGATGAGTCGGGACGGTATGGTGTAGATGAGATCCAGCCACGCCGAGATGCCATAGAAAGGAAGGGGATGAGCATACTAAAGGCAAGCGATTATGTATCAGCGCGTGAAAGTTTGCAGGTCTGGGGTGTATCGGCGTTTCGGCGGGCCCGTGTAATGACGGACGGGCAGTAAAGATGTTAAAGGCCATTTGAATGGGCTTGCTATCGGTGTTGTAGCCCAGACGAGCATCGAAGACGGTCTCATCTTGACTTGGAACTCTATTGGCATCAGCTGGCAGTTCATCACGCTTGTCGATCGTTTCGACGGGGTTGAGTACCTGCGAATAGGTGAGATCAAGACTGGGTGTGTCGACTGGACTGCCCGTAGTAGGTATGAAGTTAATCAACCCATTACGTAAACCGGATGCGATGCGCGACGTTAAATTTGATGCGATGCGAGACGTTGTATCGGATGTCCAAAGTTTCGCGGGATATTTCGAGGGAGGATTGGAGGGAGGGTGCGGCGTATCAAGCAGCAGGGAGGAATTGATATGAGTCAGGCGTTTTCAACTACGTCAGGGGCTTCAGCGGCCTCAGCGCCTAAGACATCAATAAACTTACAGGATCGAAGGGTATAACTATGTAACGTAATCCATTATCTTCGGCTAGCTGCAAGTTTTCGAACAATACCGGCGCTTTCGAACGATACCGGTTGCACCATCAGGACATCAGAATCACGAAAGTTACCTCTCAAAAAGGTTGTGCGCCAGGGCCCACACACCTTTCGGAACTTGAAATTGCTTCAGTATTATACCTTCACATAGCCACTGATGCTGGGCTGAATAATTCAATAAAAATGTCGGTAGATACGTCTAGTTGAAACGAAACAGCCGCTTCAAGTTCGATACCTTTGAGATCAATAGTGGCCGAGTTATAGTTCCTGATGATGTAAAAGCATGCATCGAATCTTCTGCGGCAGCAACCCCAATCTTATCAACTTCAGGCTTTGATATCTTGACGAATGTGGGGTCCTGAAGGATGCAAAAAATATCATTAGAAAGCGCTCAATTGACTGATTAGAATGATAATTTAGTTGGTTTTATTCAAATGACTTGGGTGAGGATGTTGAGGTTCGAATAGCCGGGGCTCGGGGCTGGCTCCACACGCAGCAGATGTTATACCAACGCTCGGAATTTCCAGACACGAACATCACAAACGCATTCGTAACCGACGCCTCGGGATTCCCATCATGGATGAATCAAAGGATGACCGGTCGCATGTAAGAATCAGAATCCACTTGTCATTGCGCTTGATTGATTGCTATCGGAGCTTACCCGCACCTCTAATGCATGCTATCGTATTGCTGATCCAGGCGCGATAACTGTTACATTGAAAACTGGCTGTTCGGGCTGACCACGTGACAACCCTCGGAGGTGTTCGCCGGTCGCATCGCATTTCGAAATCCTCGTACAGGCCGAAATGCTTGAATCCGAATTGATTGAACCAGGTCACATCATCGTAGCGGTAAAAAAAAAAAATCAAAATATCACCCTCGCAACCCATCATCCCCTTGCTGATTGTACCTATCCTTTCGACCTTGACCACGCAGAACCATGGCAACATGGAGGGTTGCCCCTCATGACTGCCTAGGTACCTAGGTAAACATCCGCCGGTATCGAAAACCCCGGCCCGATATTTTCAACAGGCAGATAACTTTACGAACTCGACTTCCAACTCCTTATAACTGGTATCGATCAATGGCTATTTCAATCGCGGACTGAATACATCAGGTTGCATCATACTTCGACCAGCGGTTGTAAAGTGATTGAAAGGCTGTCTCTTTCTAATGCCACGTGATCTCATCGATTATTCGCCGGTCGCATTACATTGCGAAATACTGCGATGTCAACCTCAATGCTTGAATAACTTGATCAATTCTCATACAAACCATACAAGATCTAGTGTACTAGGAGCGCTTCCGAAGCTGAATAGAATGAGTCAGATTGCAGCCTTCTACGAGGGTAGGGTGCGGAGCTGTTCGAAGAGGGAGAAAGGGCCGATATGGATTGACATGTCGGTCGGAGATGATTGTGAATACCCACAACTATTTGGGTAACGATTCAACAGAAAATCGGAAAAAGATGGAAAAGGTATCATTATAGAGCCCTCAACTGACCGAATAGACTAAGCGAGGTTGCACTCTTTGAAAAGACTGAAGAACCGGAATGTATTGATAAGTGTGGTGTAAATGTGGTAGGAGTTGAGCTTTTCGGCGCGGAGGTTCGGGCGGATGGGCTTGGGCTATCTAGCAAAACTCAGTTCGAACCGAGTTCCCGAATTTCGAACGGGCCGGTTTTCATCTCAGCTTGCCAGATCGAGAGTGCATTTTTCAAATTTAACATTCGCCGATATGTTTGGGTCGACCACACACCGGTCTGCGATGGTTAGGGCGAGCTCCGGTGCATGAGAAACCTAGTCCGGGGGCATTTTCGGGGTGATTAATACACTATAACCAGGGCGAACCATCCATTCATGGCGCGTCGTCGTAATTCCGGTATCCAGCAGAGCCAGCATCGAGACCACAGAACTGCTATCGTTCGGACGCTGACGCTGGCTATGAAAACCGACCTGCAACACAGCCAAATCGATCCATTTCAGTTCATAACCGACCGTTGACCCATACACCGGAGCCCTATGCATTTTTTTGGGTGATAACGCTGCCCCGACAAGAACGTATGAAATCATCTGGCACGATCCTGACAACGACAAGGGTGACCTGGCCTAGTGCCTAGTGGTACACCGTCTGAGCACCTAGTTTCCACGTAGTTACTCGGGGACGTGGGTTCGATTCCCACGGTCACCGGTTCTTTTTTTCCCCTGGAGTTCGTAATGGAAATACTGATTGTGATGGTGGTTCTAATACTGGGATCGCTGGCTTAGGTATGGCAAAGAAGTAATATCCAGTGACGTGCTCCAAGTCTAGAAAACCTTCGAATTACGCCGCCTCTCGGTTTGTTATGATAGTCATAAGTCCGTGAAATAAGACGCCAAGCTCTTGACACGCATACTTCAAGCAGCTATACATCTATGCTATGGTGGCGTTAGCCGAGTTGGTATTATTGGAATTCAGCGCCCGACTGAGCTCGTCGATGACGGGCCATACCATTATAGGGAAAAGCCGTACATCGTCTCCCTGGTGACTCGGGAGAGCAGTTCTCGTCGGGACTGCCCCCAATGTGTACGACTGCAACTTTAGGTGCTGCAAAAGGGTTAGTCTAGGCATCGGCATACGCCAGCGAGGTACTAGTCCAAGCCACACCTTGTGGTCTACTCCGAATTCGGGTTTACGCCCAAGGCGTGCGAAGACCCCGACTGATTTACTGGGACTTCCTCGTCTTCGGCCCGGTTCTGTGGACGTTGCGGCCAGCGTGGGTCGAAAATCTCAAGGATCTGTCAGCTAGGCCGCTACCGATGCAGACACATCCTCAACGAAGTTGCTTTTCATGCGTCTAAGGCACTCTACGCCGGGGCTTGGCCTTGGTTTTGAAAAGGCCGTAGCAGTCCCGTCTCGCTGATTCGTTTCGTGGTCTTGAGCTAACAGCCCCGAAACCCATCCCGACTATGTCGTCAACAAGAGGCAAGCTTAGCTGTTTCGACAAACAAAATTTATTCTTTTCTATTCCTTCTGCAACATAGCCTGGCACTTTCCCGTCGCATAGTAGAGCCCGTGAATCAACCCCCATCATGAACGATTGCTGTATGCAATCGATAAGTATTCATTCATCCAACGATCCGTCACCTTACATCAAGATCTAGTCGCTCTCTATCATTCCTCAACGTCGCGGGACTAATACACGTCCTTATTTCGGTATGGTGAGGGTCCTTCAAACCTGCGATGACGAGCATTCTGCACGGTCTGCCCGCTCCTGTTCGAATATTGATCACCCGCGGCCTGATGGACAGAGCTGCGGGGGGACCGGTGCATTGAGATTGCCGTGGGATACATAAGGGAATCGCAGATACACCTTGGGTCGAGATTGTGCCGACGCCACACAACACTTCCAAAGGAAAACTATTTGTTGATTCCCTCCGAAAGACGGTTTTCAACCTAGGCCACTACTATCAGTTCTTAAGATCTCATCAAGATTACTGAATCTCGACACTAGGAGAAAGACTCATTTGCAAGAAGCTGTATGTCACTCCCACATCTGCGAATCCTGTCGCAGGACGCAGACAACATAGCCTATAGCCGTTCATTGATGTGAAAAAATGAAATGCTCCGTGGGTGCGTGGATGGAACGAAAGCGACGACGTCGAGCCTTTTCACCTTCTCCGTCTTGCGAGTCAGGTATTTCCATACCGTGTGACTATTTCATCACGATTCAGTTCGGAAGGGGCTTACGGACTTCTAGCTATTAGGGGTCAGAAATTATGTGATACCTATGACCATGGTAACAAGGATTTTGTGACCCCCCTGTTACACACCCAAATTCATATAGGGTTATACGGTCACAGACTCTGTGACCCCCAAGTCCCCGCGAGTCTTAGATCTGTGACCGGGGGATCAGAGAACCCCAGATCTCTGGTGTAAAGGGGGTCTATAAAATACGTGCCCCGGGATGTGAGGCCCCGAATGCGGCAGACTTTTCTCTAGCCCCCAATCCCTAGCCCCAGCTACTAAACAACATCGTTCCTTGCAGCGTACGCACGATCTCATCGCTTGTGTCATCCGGGCTGGTGTGTACCTAGAATCTATCTACTGCTCGAAGGCTCCCGCGATGTATTCAGCGATGCTGTAGGAGCCGTCCATCCTGCGCTTCACTTCAATGAGATCATTAGCATCCGGGATTCGCTTCCTGGCCAAAGTACAAGGCAGAACACAAGGCTTTAACGTTGCGTAGGTAGGTAGGTAGGTAGGTAGGTACCTAGGGTTTGACGACGGAGGCGGAATGGGTTTCATGTAACCAACTTCGAAACCCGTCCTTCGGATTGAAACTCGGTCCATCTCCAACGCCCATTGTCCCATAGCTACTTATGCCCTCTCACCGCTTCTTGATGTGCTCCTGTTTCCCGTAGTCCTGCCTCGCCTTCTCCCAATTTTATTGTCCTTCGGCTCTCTTTGTCTCCGCTCCTGGCATCTCATATGTCCATCATCCTAGGTCGGCCCCCAGCCTTGCTCATCAATCGCGTCGAATATCCCCGTCGCACAACCGACAGCCGCGCCTGGATTCCCTATCGTACTTGGCCGTTAGCGACGTTCCTCTTGTGCTCGCCAGGTTCGTTGGGTTGATCTGCATTTTAGTTAGGTGAAAAACTGGATGGATAGCCTGGCTTCTACCATCCATCGGTTCTTGGTTATTATCAGAAACTTGGCCTCTTGGGGAGAATATATGCCCGTTTTTTTTTTTTTTTTGCGATGTTGATTTTTGATCGACTCTCTGACGAGACTTGGGGTTTTCAGATCGGTACCTCTCAGAATCGATTGCCTATTAATACTCCTGGAATTGCATTGGGGGTACGTGAGCCTAGTAGTCTTGAGCAAGCCAAACCAGTTTTAGTGCCAAATGAACTTCCTTCTCCCTTACGGACAAGCCGGTCTAGGCCGGGGAAGAAATCGAATGAAGCCGAGACGCCCCGGAATTTAAGTGGAGATAGGCATCGCAATCGGTCGCAGAGAAACTTCTGGTTATCGTGTTACTAGCTGGGATCCTTTCTCGTTCAGTCATCTCTTTTTTGACTTGGAAGGTAAAAAATCTGCCCGCCGCTGGATTCAAACCGACCGGGTTTCATAGCATCTGGGCATAGAGGAATGCATTCACGGGGCAAAAGACACCTAACAGCGCGAATCAGGAAATGCCAACTTGCAGTCTAGCGGCGCGAATGGAAAAGCGAAACTGAACTGCTCTATAGAACCATGCCACGAGATGAAACGGGATGAAAAACGGGTGGTCTTGGCTGACGACGCCTTCTTCGGACTAAAGGGTGACTCGCCAGCCAGCGTGGTCATTGGTTCTTCCTCATTGTCGCGCATGGTAGTCTGGCTAACCAGTAGCTTGTTGGCATGAACCTGCCAATTCGATTACTTCTAATAGTGTACGAAACGGAAGTCGATGGATTCCCGAGATTCGTTACCGGTAAGATACTCGGCCACTCATGGTGTTAGACTAGCAACTGCATCGAAGTAGCTTACAAATGATGGGCGTTGCGACTACGACGTGGACGACGCGACAGGTCAAATTCCTACAGTGTAAGGTAAGGTGTGCTCATACGGGGGCGTAGGTCGGTACCGAAGATGTGCGTCACCTGACGGTTGATATAACCGCGAATTAGGAAAGTCCCTATGAAACTGTTTTACTCTTCTTAGTACTATTGTGGACTATTCTGGCCTGAAGGTCATAGCTGCGAGCATCTAAGGGTGGGACGTATGTTCGCCGTTCTCTAGGGCTACATCTTATCGTCTCATCCAGAGGCTACAGCTTATCCAAGGGCTACATCTGCTACGTGTCATTCAGGGGCTATGTGTCATTCATGGGCTACATGTCATTCAGGCATTCCGGGACTACAGGTCATTCACTTTCGCGTTACTCAAAGGGGTTCAACGTATTGTATTCATCTATCACACACCCGAATCTACTCTAATCGCCCCCGGGAGTCGTGCCGGCACCCCCTAGCGACGTACCTGCATCTCCCGGCGGCTCGCCAAAATCATGCGGTGGCTTTCCCAACAAGGACGATACTATATAAGAGAGGTGCTTCTTGGCTTCTATCCTCTTTCGTAACTGCTTTAGGTACTCCTCTGCCTCTTCGAGACGCTGCTGCGCCTCTGCATACTTGGCGTCTAACTGTTGCGACATATCCCTGACGCGCCATAGCGTCACCGTATATTCTCGAAGCGCCGTCTGTAGCTTCGTGGTAGGAAAGTCTACACACGCGTCGACGTCCTTGACGTATCGAAGACGCTTCTCAAGCTCCTTCTGAGTCGCTTCGAGATTGTCTCGGAACCATGGCTTGGTCACAAAGACGTGCTCCTTGGCCTCCAGTAGGACCGAGGACTGCTTATCACCTTTTTGCGATCCGCCTCCCACTACGTTGAACCCATCCTGAAAGACGTAGGAGAGCCCCAGAGCACTCACCAGGACCTCGGAGGGACCTAGGTATTCGTTCTCCCAGGTACGTATGACTGGCTTGACGATCACTTCAGGAATCAAGTTCAATTCGGACGAGATCAGACACAGGGTCAAGGCCCACGTGTACGTCGTCTGGCTCAGCCCGCTGGACGAGTACGGATCATGGTGTCCCATTCGCTCGTCGAGCTGGTTCGAACACCCGATCATGAGTGGTCCCTGCTTGTGGTATGCTAAACGAGAGCTTCCCTGATTCCTAGAAGCTACGCATCGCCGCTCGAAGCTCTGGATAAGTACCTAGTCTTGAGATGCTAAGCGCCTTATCATTCTGGATAAAACGGACCTGATCCTTTTTTGAACCAGGTCTGGATCCAAACGTCTTGTCTACGTTGCGAGCGAACGTATCTAGATCCACGTCTGTCTGAGACGCAGGTGGTCCCCCCTGACGTGCTTTCTGCCCCGCGTAAGCGTCGCAGTATTTCCTCAACGCGACGACGAGCTTCTCGTCCTCTTCCACGTTAGTAAAGCGGCCGTGGCGGCCAGTGATGGTCATGGCCGCCACATACGTGCCTGGACCGTCGGCGTCGTAGCACTCGCGGGTGACGTAGGGGGCACTCGCGAAGTAGTAGCCAACGGTACCTAGGATGAGGGCCTCCAATAGCCCGCGGGGAATGGCATGGAGTAGCACGGCGATTTTTCGTCCGAGCTCTCTGTCAAATTGCAGTTGGTCAAGTGCCTT